TGACAAACCAAAAGTTCATTATAAACTTTATAACTAGAAAAATCTTTTAATAAAAAAACAGCTGAAATAGCATCCATAGATACACATGTCCTGGTTCTTATCCAGTGGCTTGCAATCACATTTTCAAATTGACAAAATGTGGGCCATAGTGTTAGACGGCCAGGTAAACCGCTGCTAACTCTCTCTCTCTTCCGTACACACACACACACACACACACGTGCAGAGTATTCATGGCCCGGTCTGAATTATTCAGCGTCGTGCAGGAAGCTTGTGTCTAAGTGACCTAACTTGCCTGGACTGGTACTGTAACAAAGAAGAAACGTGAGTCAGAGTTAAGTTTCACATAACAATCGCCCATTAATCTCACTGGAATTTAAAGGGGAATAAAAAACATTTAGGAAGCTGATATTCTGGAAACATAAACTCATTTTAGCTGTAGGAATAACAGGTCAGTTTCAGGTCTCAGTTTCTTTAACTGAAGATATTGACAGCTAAATGCTAAATTTCAGACGATGTTCGAGCCCTTGAACCTCAACTGATGAAATCATCACAGTAATATTAATTCTTTAGTCTATGATCACATCACAGGTTCATTTCCATTTATAATACAAACAATCCCAGAGGCACCAACACATAGACGATGTCCTTTGGGTAGAGCCATCATGAGTTTCAAAATGGCCAAAACACTAGAATTCAATGAGACTTATTACCACTGATCTTCATTCTATTTGACCTCAGTTTTTTCTATTGTTTCCCTTCATTAAAAGTGATGTCTTGGTGGCCATTCCAACTGAAGGTTTGGATGAATCTCTCAGATCTTGTGATTCTAATTTAAAAAGTCTTTCGATTTTAGATCTTCTTTATTATTATTTTTACTATAAATTGTTTTATAGATCGACATACGGATCGGCTCATTTTGTGCCTCACTTGTTCACTTTCCTCAGATTATATAGAACACACTGCACGTCAAGTTAAGAAATATCAAAACTCAAAGTTGTCATTTGACACAGGCTAAAGAAATATGAGGAAATTACTTGAATTTGCAGCAGGCAAATTGTAACAAAGTGCTTTAAGAAATGAATCGAATAACTAAGGAAGTATTCTTTCTAAACTGCCTGATGTAAAGACGTAACAAGCTTTAGTCAAGCTTTGATAAGTCAAATGTTAGTATGTACTGCCTCAACAAACTAACAAACACAAAATAGTCATCAAAAAGCAGCCAACGTCCCCAAAAAAGGGATGAAAATGAACCGAAATGACACGGTGGCTGAGGACTTTCACACATTACTGCGCGCTGTGGCAGACACAGGTGAACTTGTTTAAACCTTTGAAATTGTAACTTCGTATATGTCACTCCAAGTCACTCCCTGACCTTTCCACATTAGCCAGAGAAAAAAGATAAGGTGTCGTCCAAGGAGACTGACATTTCATCTACTCAGTCGTCTCCCTTTTTCCAGGTGAACATCTTTTTCTCTCCCATTCATTGCTTTGACTTTCTGTCCTCAGTGAACCACGATATTACCCCTCATCCTCAGTTATCTCCGTTCTCTCTTCTTAGAGCTCAGGTTTGCCTGAAGATACATGAGATAATAGACTATCTTTGGTGGTCAGATGAGGACAGAGAGGCGGGTGGTCGTCACCGTGCTGCCTCACTCAGCCAGACCCCACGGTTTCGTAATCTGGGTTCACCTGAGATCACAAAGGTAAAGAAAGAGAGAAAGAAAGTGCCAACTGAGCAGAGAACTATTGTCTCCAACCCTTCTGTTTTAGCAACAATACCTCAACTTTTTCATATGGTTGAAATAAAAATGAGGGCAGCATGTAAACATTGTATCTAAAATTAGAGGCAACTGGATGAAATTTTACACCTTCCGCCCACAATTGTGGACTGCGTTTCCTCGTTGCTGCTTTTCTGTGTTGTGAGCAACTACATTTGATACAGGAATGTCTGACTTCAGCTTCTACCCCTGGACCTATAGAGCACACATAACAGGAGCAAGAGAGAAATCTGACAATAAATGTTCAGATTTTAGTATTGAAATGCACAGCCGACATACTGACAAGTCATTATCTAGGTCCAAATCTGAGAATCAGACAAGAGTGGACAGATGGCCCAGAAGATTTTGGGACGAGAAAACCAGAATATCAGAATATATGTGATATAGTAAAAACTATATTTGTTTAATCCATCCATCCATTATCAATACCGCTTATTCCCTAATGGGGTCGCGGGGGGAACAGGAGCCTATCCCAGTGGTCAATGGGCGAGAGGCGTGGTTCACCCTGGGCAGTTATTTGTTTAATTATTTCAAATATTAAACCTGTCGGGGAAAACCGCCAAATTGACAGGCAACACCCAAACACAAAAGCTGCTCCTATTGGATTTTGTAACTTCAAATTATCGTTTTTTGGAAATAAAGACTGGTCACAAATCTGACTGTATTCTGAGCTATGAATGATGTCAGGGCCATTCCTTAATGAAAAAAGTTAATTTTCTCACTTTCTATCTAAAAAAAGAGAGGGGATGACAAATCAAAAAAGAAAGAAGAACAAAAAACCCCCAAAAAACAGCCTGCTCCAGATTGGTGATGGAAGCAGAAGAAAGGTGGGGGGATTAGCGAGGGGCAGGCAGAGGGGGGGCAGTGTGTGAGTGCACACCCACTTCACCGTGGGTGAAGCAGAGCCCATCAGTGGGAGGCGGCGGCGGCAGGGCGCTATCTCTGGACAGCAGACCTGTGCGGACCACAGCCACCGTCTCCTCTCCAGATACCATCCTCCCACACGCGGAACAGCGCCGGCTTATGAGCGGGGGGGGCCTAAATGTTCATCCACTTGAAGCGGGGCGGAGGGGAACAAAAAAGAGGAGAGGGAGAGGGAGGAGGTGCACTTTTTCTTTTTATTTAGGTCATATTTTCATATCATGTTTAATAAATTCCCTCCCGTCGTCCCTGAGCATGTTGGCTGGCTTTATGAGGCTCTGCAGATCCCCTCACTGCAAGCCCCCCCCACCACCTAAAGGAGCGTGCATCAGACATAAACCGCCTCGCTTCCGTTCCATTTCACCTCACCGACAGCCTGCGGCCAAGCATGTGGACGGCCAAAATGTGTAAACGTCTCCAGGAAATGAGGAAACGGAGAGGGAGCAGGTCTCACAGAGCACAGCTGCTTTCTGCGCCGCCCTCCAGGGGTGCAACCGAGCGCTTTGTTTGCTTCATCCCTTTCGTCCCAATTTTATCCCTCCCTTTCTCTTCTTTTCTTCGCCTCGGAGAGCCAAATGTGTAAATGCTACAGGACACCATCTGCACTGAAGGAGCTTCATTTTGTGCAGTGCCAGGTATAAATTTATCTAAATGAGGGGGCTGCCGCACGGTTTAAATGCCTTTCTCATAAAGTCGTTTGAAATGGGAAAACTAGAGCTCCAAAACAAGTTTCAAAGAAACACAAACAACAATTTTTTAAGAAGTGCAAAAAACAAAATACATTTTCATCTCGCAGGCCCATATTCCCGCTGGAAGACGTACAGTAGCCGGAAAAAAAGAGGGGAAAAAAACACGTAGAAAACATAAGTGTTGCCCCATTTCTTCCCTCCACCTTTTGCTCACACAGTCTTCCTCCCGAAAACTTCCTCTCCTCCACCCACTGAGTGAAGAGATGAACTATACATGAGGGGGGCCAAAACTGCTTGCTTGTGCTCTGGTACATGTGCACAAAGCTCCCCATGCTTTGCCAAAGACAGAACTCTGATTCATGGAGGTGATTTCTAGGCTAACCAACCTCCCTTCAGAGCAGGTTGTGTGGGCTTGTGGAGGATCTGGCAACGGTAAGAAGAAGAGGGACCACATCCAGCTTTTCATATAAATATATCTCTCCTCCTTAGCTTTGCTTTACACAAGCGATGGAGGTTTTTGCAAATGTTCTCAGTAGCAATACCTGGGTCAGGATGGGACGACGTTAGAAATGAAAACACAAGACAGAGAACACAGTGAAGTATTCTGTCTTTGTCAGACAAAACGAGAAAACAGACAGTTTGGCTAACGAGCACATGCCGCGTCGGAAAACATCTAGAACCATCCAAAAGCACTCGGAATGTTTACTGTGGAAAAAGACATCACTTCATTGACAGCTGAGGTTGTTCCAGTGTGCCGACAAGCATAACCGGTAGACTTCTGAGGTCTTTCTCTGCAGCCTTATTAGCGGGGAAAATTTTTGAGTTAATACGAGAGTTCAATAAAGAAAAAGAAAGGCTGCTTCTTCTTTTTTTTGACAGTTAATGGTGCTCTGAACTAGGTCACCACTTACGATGAGCCTCCTCGTTATTGCTCCCTAAAAACACGAGAGAAGCTGGTATTCGGGCTGATTTTGGATGATAGATCAACACTATGAGGCTCCGTGCTGGTGTGTGTGCTGTGAGCTGGAGGACCCATGGCCACATGTCTAAGTGATCAACGCGTTCATACTCGGCAGCCACATTTTCCTCTCTAAGCAATCTGGCACATGCCAAAATCAAAACCTCTTTCTTCGTAAGAAAAAAAAAAGAGAGAGAAAAAAAAAAGCTGTCTCTTGCTTTTATCTCTTCTTTCTCCTTTATCTTTTCCACTCCCCCTCACTGCCTCCTCACCCTTTCTGCCTTCCTTTCTCCACTGGGGACCAGAAAGAGGTTTGCTTTAATTACTGAACTACATTTCACACCGTTAGAGAAAGACAGAGACACACTTCAGACGCCCACACCCGCCCACTTTCAGGCTCCCAGCTCTGACTTTCATACATATATTCCCCCTGCGCGATGATGCCAAGATGTGCACGTGTTTGGTTTCGTAAAGTCTCTATCGGTGCTCCTTGCGCGGTCATTTCTTTACGGGAGCATACCACTGCGGTCAGATACGCTGAATTAATTAAGCCGTGTTTCCTATTTTGGGCTGTGCTTAAAAATGATGCAGACTTTGGGAAAAACTTTGAGCTGGATGCAAAGGAACAGAGTCAGCAAATGTGTAATTGTAAACTCATCTGCTTTTCTGAATACCTAAAAAAAAAAAAAAAAGTCAAACTCACGAATAAGAACTGCTGAGAAAACTGGAGCAAAACGTGAGAGGCTGATACACTGACACGTTTTACTTTGAAGCAGGCCGACTGAGGGGATGGGGGCGGAAGGGGGGATGGAGGGAGGGAGAGTGTTTCCCTACCTTTTTTTAAAAAAAACTTGTATTTTTACTCTCTCACTTCAAAACTAGGACCTCCATTTTTATGCTTTTCTGTTTAGAGTTATATTTGTTGCATGCAATTTGGCAAGTCTTGTGAAATGTTCAGGGTTTGCATGAATTTTGACACGTAATCGTTTCTGTAAAAGTTCTGTGTTAGATAACTCAGTGTCAACATTTGAGATTTTTTTTTCGTCTCTATTTGATTTCTGAGGTTTTAATCAGACGGGTGACAGCCTGTGGTATTAACTGAAAAGAGACTCCTAACAGCACATTTGTGGAAGATGAAGAAGCTGTCAAAAGATGATAGCTATGTGCAGTTGCTTCAAATCAAATGGAAGTGTTATGTTTAGCAAGGAAATCCCTCGGCTTAAAAACCTTAACCCATTTGGGAAAGTACGGTGGACGTTTTGCTGCATCCGAGGAGTGACTGCCGGACACAACTGATAGACTAAAATGGGAACAATTTGCCAAAGGCATTTTTAGAGGAAAGAGCAGGACGTCTGACCATAAACAAATGGATTATACACCAGGACAACAGCCCTGAGCAAATAAACATACCAGAAACATCAGGTTTGAAAATATATATTTTTTTAAAACGTCCCCAATTATGAAAAAGCTATAAAAAATGCTTTCAATCTTATTTGTGGAGGAATACTGGAATCTAATGAATATATCACAAATTTCCAAGCATCAAAATAACAATTAATTTACTTAAGAATGAACTTGCTTCAGTTTGCCAAAAGCTCCAATGAAACTTCTTTCTACTTAGCTGCTTCTTATATTGTACACAGTATATAGTTCTTTTTTATCTTACACAACTCACCACTTGTGTTTGGACATAAAAGTGCCGACAGCAATGCAAAAATCAATCAGGAGTGACAGATTCTCTGGACGCAACGAGAGCCAAAACAGCTCCAGCTGCATCGGTAAAGTGTGTTTCTGTCTTTTTTAATGGGAGCCGGAGACGAAGAGGCTGGCAGCAGCTGGAGAAAGAGAGAGAAGCAGTAAGAGAGGCAGAGCAGGAGGTAGAAATGGGCCAGTGTGTCTGGCTGCTGCTGCTGCCGTCTCCCGCGGGACGGGTGGGGGGGACAGGACAGCCCGGTGGAGGTTCCCACAGCACAGTGACACAGTCCACTCCGTTCAATGGGCCACTTGCAAAAAGGGAAACCACTAAAAAAAAGAGCTCATTGATCATTGGTGAGGTGTGTGATGCCGTGGACGTAAAAACTACACAGCTTGCTCTACCTCAGACACGAAAAGGCAACACTAGTTTGTTCTGCTGGCGAATCTAAAAGTCCTTAAGCACGAGTGAATCAAGAACTGCTTAAACAGCACCTTTAATGCTGGTTCCAGAACTGCTGATTCACCGTAGGAGTTCCTGCTCCTTTCAAAAGTGAAGGGTACTGTCCCAAACACCTTAAGGTAAAGTAGACACATCAAAATGGAGAGTTTGGCTTTGGGATTAAGAACTCTTTTAGTTTGTAGGTGTCTTGCACTTTGACACAAACGTACTCGGTACAGAGACACAAGGAGCGCAGCACAGTCTGACTAAAACAGGGGCTGGGATTTGTTTTATTCCTCTCAAGCAAAATCATGTGCCTCACTTGGTTTCTTATTAAGCGCCATAGAGAACAAAACAAATCCACAAGAAAATTACACCTGCTTCCTCATGTAGGTTTGTGCACCAGACGCATGGTGAGCACGGATTACCGGCCGAGTCGCTAAACAGAGCAAGAGATACAGGAAGATCTTCTGTACAGGACTGCTGCAGGCACAGGCAAGCTGGTTTCCATAACAACATAGGGGAATAGAAAGTTTAGTTCTGCATTTTGAGTGCAAGACTCCGAGTCAATTAATCCATCATCTATGTATGAGCTCTGTCTGCTGTTCAATAAGCAGACAGAGCTATTAAAGTCATCCTGAGGTAAGCTGGTTAAGAACTTGAGAAAGAAGCATACAGCAGTGGAGAATATGAGCTTCACGTAAAGCTTTTACATCCTAACCTAATCCATAGTCAATGTTTTAACTCAGAAACCTTGCAATGAAGGGGTCATTTAAATATGGCTGATACTCAAATAAATTCAGAGTCTCCACACCCTAGATATTTCTCATAAGTTATCGCAAATATAAGCACAAAACCCATTTTACTTGCATGAATAAAACCCCTCTAAACCCATCAATTTCACCGAATCACAAAGAGCTGGAGGGATAATGGAGGGGCCTGCTGCATGTTCCAGTGGAGCAGGTGTGGGACAGACACATGCATTCAGTGTCAGCTCTGCGTAAAGCACTGAGCTCAGTGTCATTATAGGTCAAAAGCTGTTTATTCTGTATGGTTATTTTAAGCTTTTACTTCAAATGTTTCTGTTTCAGGTGTCCCAGTTTTCCTCCTGCTCAGTTACACTGGGCAACAAAAAAAATGTCTACACTTATTTAATTTAATTTGAAAATAATAGAAAATTCATTTTACTTCAGTTTGAATGTTTAAAAGCTTTGCAGCAAATAAAATTCTTGTATGATTTTTGGATTAATTGGAGTCGGGTGTTCCGGAGCATACAGTGCAAAAATGGATTCTAGCAACAACTTTACAAAAATGTGATAAAAAGTATATTTGCTGTAAAACATATAATAAAAAGATATGCCTGTGTGACAGTTTTAACATAAATGACGTTGACGTTTATTCACTTTCATTTACTTCTGAACTCCTACATATCAGTATGCGAGTAATTATGATTATTTTATATCTAAAATCCTTTTGAATCCAAATCCAAAAGGATTTTGAAAGAAATGACAAATGACCTACATAGAAATGACTGGATATTATTAAGCATGTATGGTCCTGTTCAGAACAGGACAAAGTATGCACATATGTGCATCCACTAAGAGAAAATATGTCTGGCTCTGTGATAATGTGATGAGGTAATGTCCCCTGATATGGACAATACTGCAGTTATCCCTGAAGTTCTCCCTGGGTCAACAATAAGCTGCTCTGCACAACACATCGGACAGATACTCGTTAAGCACTAAATCTTAAAACTGTTCTCTAACAAAGCTTCTACAGTCTCATTATAGAGTAAGAGAATCAGATGAGTGCTGGGGCCGTCACAGGGTGGTGTGACTGGACTGTAAGAGGGGAGGGGGACAAACGACAACTCATTATGGGAGTGAAACAAGATGCTGAAAATGAAGGTTTTGAAATGTAGATTATAAGGAGGGAGACAGATTTAACTTAGAAAATCTTTGAGCTACACAGTTTCCCTCATAAAATGTGGTTCCTCCATACTTAAGCTTAAGTGAGGATGAACACAAAACAGTGACACTTTTCCATACTACTGCACACACATGAACATGTGTATCAGGTTGGGGCGTTCTATACAATATATGTGACTACAATCATAGGTAGTTTGTGTTGTGGGATTTGCTTTTTGACCTGGACTACATTCGAATGACAAACATCTCTCTGAATCAATTCTTTCTCTGAGGATAAGTTATTATTTATTGGTATACAGTTCAGACAATTGATCTTTCCCCCATTTAGATGACTGCTCACATCAATTACACGCTGTCTGTCTGGCTGTAGACACTAGTTTCAGAGATACACATCACATGTCAAACCGAGGCAGCATACAAACAAAACAAAAGCTCAACCTTACTAAGAGTATATCAAATGGAGCTGCTGAATGGTTCTCATAATGCAAATTACAAAGCAGTTAAAAGGGGCTCTCTGTCAGCGGCGTCGTATTAGTGAGATGTATTGTTCCTGGTTTCTGGCCAATGAGGGAGTCTATGACTGGAGTCTGTGGCGAGGCAAACACTTACTGGAGGGAGACTCCTCCGAGAAAGAGCTGGCTTCGTTCTGACATTGACGGCTGTGCTGGCAACGCTGAGCCGCAGCTTTCCGTGCATCTCCCGTGTAAACACATCCTTTGGTGCGAGTTAAGACACCTGGGATTTAATGCTGCGTCTCGCCAAGAGTAGCGGCTGAATATAAGCACTACTCCGATAGGCCCACTGTGACAGAATGACAATAAGCTCTGGTCACAGGTGTTTTCCACTCTCCCCCCGGGTGGATATGACTCAAACAGGGAACCGGGTACAGTCGCCGTAGGAATTATCAGCCTCATTTGAGCATTCGGATCTGAAGAAACAGAAGAGCTCTCAAGGATTTGAGTGATGCTCTCCAACAGCCGTGTGCCAGGTTTAGACAAAAGTAATAGAATTGCTGTATTATTCATTCTTCACAATGTGTTTCTCCTGTGTTTGGGAGTTTTTAAGGCAGTTAGCATTGCAAGCCTGATATATGAAAGCAGTTCATACACTGAATTTAGCCTTAATCCCTGATTTATCTGACTGATCTCTATCGAGTAGTTCTCTCGCTCGAGTGTGTCATGTTGCTGAATACATCCAAGAAGCACGAGTGTTCTCAACAGGGTTTAACTGATTTCCGTTCAGACTCTTGAGGAGACCATACTTCACTGGTGCATAGTGTCATGTTTGCAGCATGTTTTTCTGTTATCTCTCTTTCCCAAGTTTCCCTTCTCGTGTCCCATGATGCCCGTCTCCTGCTCTCCTATTGGCTCTCACTTCTCACTGATTGCTCACACAATACTCATCCTCGCTGGAAAATATCGAGCAATCTGGACATTCAGTCTGGGCTCAGACGTCTCTATAAAATTCACATAGTGTGACTGATGACCGCCGTCAGAAACTGAAGTTTTGCCTCAGATTTGGATCATTTGCCTCTGGTCTGAACCAGAGGAACGGTTATCCAAAAAGTTAGTGAGTTATTTGTTTTTGTTTGGATGCAGCATCACGTAAAGCGCATTTAAAGCTTGTAAAGCTTGTAAAAAAAACAAACACACAAAATGTTATTATGTATGTATATAGTAGAGCAAAAATACCAGCATTCACTTAAGTCCACAGAAGAAGTAAAAGGAACTGGATGAAAACCTGAAAAAAATGCTATTTTTGACAAAAGAATTAACCATTATCTTTACTCCCTTACCTAAGAGTCCATATTTTATCTGAATACTTAGACCGTCATTTCAGAGGGTCTAAGAATCAGCAGAATTCAGCGGTTTTACAGTGGTAACTCATAATAGTGTGTCTTAATATGAGCAAATAACACTTGTTGTGTTATGTATCATAATTAATCTAAAACCAGCTGATCTGAGCGGACTCTGTCAAATATGGCTTATTTTGTTGAATGCACATTCTCCAAGTGGCACACTGGCTTCATTTGCATGGACAGCAATGACAAACAACATCAAGGGTGCTTTCCCCACAGCAAATCCCAAACAGGACTGAACTAATCCCTTCGCATCTTGCCACCGGCATCAAAACCGGAGCTAGTTACACTTCACATCAAAGCCTGAAAAAAAAAATGCCTCGAAAAATAAGACCCACCTCCTTTTCTTTTCACTCTTTTGAGCCCTTTCAGTGAATAACCCAGAACAAAACAAATGCTCGGCGCTGTGAGCTGTTTTGTCCAACCTGAAAATGTCACATCCAATTCAACAGATACTCAATAGTGTCTTGACTCGCACAAGTGCCGGTGAACTGTTGCTTTTCTTTAGGAGCTATTTGTGGCAGCAGTCGATCCTGCGGGCGGAGGATGCAGCCTGTAGACTGCCGTGGCAGCATCTAGTCACGTGCCGTAAAGCAGGTCAGCAGCATTAGACAGAGGGCTGCAGCTCCCCCACTTAGGTCCACTCAGACCCTCGATCTTTTACCACCAAATCTGAAACTGAGAGCAGATGTAAGCCTTCATTGCTGTGAAACCTTTGTGGGAAGCAATTAGTTTGATCTGGTTTTTATTACAAAAAGCTAATAATGAGCCTACGCATTTTGGGCAAATTGGTGTCTCTAACCTAAAGTGATCTTATAATATGTTAAAAAAATGTAAATGAATCAGTAATCAGTAGTAGCATGAAGTGATAGCACCTCATGGAAGGCTGTCACACTCTCACTCCATCACACGTCCTGTTTGTTTGCACCCGTCTTATTCATCACCTCTTTTTTCATCTATCTCCCTTTGCTCCCTCCATCTGAAGATGGATGGATTCAAGAAGCAGTGGAAGTTTAAGGAAAATTCCATATGCCCCCAACTGTCATTTTTGCATAAATAAATATTGGGGCAAGAAATGTGGCCACAAATAAAACCCCACAACAGTCTGAAACACATATGCTGCTGAGCTGAGGCCAAAAATCCCTCCTTTTCCATTAAATGAATTACATTAAATGCAGTTTAGAACAAACTTGACTTCATAAAACAGAGGGGAGGCACTTCAGAGCATTACTAATTGTTCCAAACATATAGGGCAGCACAACATAGTCCCCATCCCACCTCACCCCCAGTCCCCTTAACACATCAGCAGCTTTTGAGCCGATATAAAAGTCCAGTCTGTATTCGCGTTTTTTAAATTGCTGACTTATTTGCCAAGTACTGTGGTTATTGGAAGCCTTTTACGCGCTGAAGGAGGCACTGAGAAACACAGAATCCAACATTTCTTTGGTCAGTGATGAAATGGGGGACATAAAATTACATGCTACAAAAAGCATGTACAGTACAGGTCTGTAAAACACGTTAAGCGGTTCATTTTACTCCCCCCCCCAAAAAAAGCAGACAATTTGTTTTTTGTTCTTTAACTGAGACATCCTAAAAATTGAACATGCAGCACCTTTCAAATGTGGATTTGCATGTATCCCACAAACAATTTTCTGCAGATCCTCTGATATTTGCAATAATGACTTGAAATCAGAGATGCAGTCTCTCTTTGATTTCAGCAGAAAACTTTCCCTCTCTGAACACCTCTCGCCTTGCAGTGGTGGGTTGGGATGGGTTGGGATGCGCTGCACTGTCACCTAGTTTCCATGGTAACCTGTTACTATGGAAACAGGCCCCAAGAACCGACTCGGGTGTCTGGGAGGTGGAGATTTTGTTCAGGGAGAGGGAGGTGAGGAAAGAACGTGAGAGAAGCAAAAAAACATGGAGAAAGTGGAGTGTGGAGGAGGAGGGAGGGAGGAGAGGGGGTTCTCAAATTGGGCGCAAACTTCCATTTCAAGCATTAACACAGCCTGTCACCAAGGTTTCACTTAACATCTGTGCACTTCATCCGAGAGCCGTTGGGTTTAAGGTTGAATTGAGTATGTTTTGTGGAGTAATGAAGATGTTACAAATGGAGAAAAGAAGAGAGCAGCTATGATGTGCAGAAAATATTACATAACTGCTAAAATAGCTGGCAATACAACCAGGGAGAAGTTTTTTTTTTTAGTTTAAGACACTCAGAACATTTCAACCTCCGGAGTGTTGAAAACTCAAGCGAGAATCAAAAAGTTAGGGTGCAAGTGTAAGGTTGGTGTAAAAAAGGGAACAGGGAATCTTTTGGAAAAGGTCTAAACTGGATGCGTGTCAGCCTGAAAGTTTTGTTAGCGGACGAGGCGGTAAAGGGGCCGCATCGTTAGAAGCTGATTGCTGACCGTCTCTTAGCATTAGCGCTTTTACACATAATGTGAACGCAGCAGAGGGGAGCAGTCGACAGCAGCGTATGCTCTTGCCTGACAAAAAAAACAACAACAAGGAGGCAGTACAGCCTGCCAGCAGGTAAATCCAAGCCTAACACACTCATTTGCAGATGTCCACATCAGCGGCTGTTTCCCAGAAATTACAGCCCCACCAGCCGTGGGACATTTGATTTCCCGTAATGTCTCCTTGCACACTCACACCTCCCCCTCCTCATCTCCATCTAACCCTCTAATCTTTCCCCGGCCGAATCTGGACCACGGCCCGCCGGGTTAGTCTATTTCACTGCTGTCACATAAAGAGCCTTGGAGCATGTTGTGTACTACACTGGGTGACAAACAATATGCACGGCAACTGACAGGAAGCACTACAGGACAGATGGATGCACACACACACACACACACACACACACACACACAGATGCATTCAGATTGGCACGTGTTTATGCGGTTCGAGGTTTATAGACTCTGGGGTTCCAACAAACTGGACAAATTGGACTGCAAAGTTCAGTCAGACTTCCTCCATTACAGCTGTAACACAAACACAAGAGCCTGGAATACAAACAAAGCTGAAAGCGAGGATGCGCAAACAGGAAATCAATTATTAATGTCGTACACATACAGCAGGAACTCTCCAAACCCTTTATTACTGTAATTGTGCGGCTTCTAATCGAACCACATGCTTTTGGGAAGTGCTTTTTTTTATCTTCTCAGCTCAATATGGAGGTTTACAGACAGAAATATAATCACGTTCTTGTGAGATCCTACATAAAAAACACAAGATGAGTGAGCTCATGCTGGCTATCATTTTTTACTGGTAGCTTAGTTAATATTTATGACTTGGAAATTTGGGGATATTTCTCAGAGGATGTGCTGCCAGGAAATACAGTGCAAGGGGCTGGTAAAGATGACCGAGAGAGGAAATTGTTGTCATAACTTAAATTGTTGTAAAATCTTATTAATGGGCTTTAAAGGTAATGGAGTTAGAGAGTAGACTGCTTGAAGACCACTTTAAGTAGTTTTACAGCTTGTGGCAAGACCAAGAAAGTCAAACAGGCTAAGAACAAAAAAGAAAGGGCTTCAATGGTTTTTCAAGACTAAAATGAAAAACTCTAAGGCTACAATTTAAAGGGAAAACTTAAGCCTTTCAACACAAAATGAAAATCTGGGATCAAAACAAAGGTAAATTCAAGATGTTCTCTGTTCACTCCCAATTTTTTCATTTAGGTTGAACAGTCAGAATTGTTCAACGTTGAACGGCCAGAATTGTATATTTTCTTAGCTTTAGTTCTCATGTCCACATATGTGGACAACATGCTAGTCAAATTCCAAATGCAAGAAGTGAAAGCCTTTACAAAGCATGTAAACTTGGTGGACATCAACATCAAGTTCAAAAGGGAGGATGCAGGCTCCCCCTTTTTTTTTTTAGAAGAACAGAAGACAGAAGCCTTCACATGGTGATTTACAGCAAACCCTAGACCATCATCATCACCCACTAGAACACAAACCAATTTAAAACAGAGGATTCTGTGTCAGCTATCATCTTCCCAGCAATGACCATGCAGTCAGTTTCATAGCCACTCACATCTGGGACCCTGGGACCGAAACTCAGCCCTTCAGACAGACAATCTACAGGTGAGAATGGCTAAGGAGTCTCACATTGGCGAGGGGTTCAGACCATACCCCCCACTTTGAAGATTAGAAGTGAAAAAGTCTTTTGGATCAGAGGTGAAACGTCTCGAAGATCCATGGAGGGGTTCGTTTGCCTTTCCGCAAGCTCTTAGGAATTTGGTTCATATGCTACAAAAAGAGGGACGTGAGGAAAAATTTAGGAAAGCCTAGCTGTAATTTGCCATAATTGCCTACAGTGTCACCTTCTTATGTAAAGGACTGGATGAAAGGTTTGTGATGACTTCAGTTTGACGGTGAGGAGGCGATTTAATTAACTGATTGGGAGTATTACACAACATCACTTCCGACCAAGGAGATGCAAGTCCACAGCCCACAAGTAAGCTTGAGGAGCGCACTGCATACATGTCATTGGTTTACAGGGAATAAATCAACTCTAATCCGCAATTCAGTGCCTGTATTGCTTAATGCTGGTAATCTTGGTTAACGATATTGTGAGTGTGCGTGTGAGATCTTTCATCTACATCTTAAGCAGGTAATCCTCTTGTGTAAAGAGATGCCGGAGAGAGAGAGAGAGAGATCAACTTTCTGCACGAGACAATCAGAAACATGAAATAACAGAGTTAAGGAGACCTTCAAATACTATAAATCAATTTTATAGATTTAAAGCTCAGCAGACACACAGCCCATTTACAGTTCTGTTATCACTTTGTTATTTGATACAATGCCGGCTATTTATACGAAGGTAACGACAGATACGAGGACAGTTTTTATACATTTACATTTTTTTCGTCACTTCACGGCTGGCGTGTCATGTGTGTGTGTGTGTGTGTGAGCAAAAGTGTACGGCAGTTGTTGACAGCAGCTGTGTGCGAATGCTGAAGTCACTGTGGCGGCATCACACCTCTCTCAGCACAGAAGGCGTCCGTGGAATAAATGCATAATTACGTTGTTATGAAGCAGTTTGATGCGGCACCGGTCTGCCTGACAGGAATTAAAAAAAGAAAGATCAGCTTTGCAGACGTAATATACTTTTTTCGCCGTTACTGAGCAAGCCATGTAGACACATCTGGAGCCGTGTCTCAGGAGGGCACCGAGCTACATCTGTGTGTGTGCCAAAACAATTTTTTGTGTATTTTTTTATATGTGTATTTGTGCAAGTGTGTGTCCTCAGCAGCACCAGCCAGCTGTTCAGAAGAGGAATCCCTGCACATCTGGCAACCTGGAGCCTGAGAGGGTATCTGCCATGCAGCAGTGATGAAGGGGTCAGAGAAAGAGACCGGAGAGGATAAGATTAAAGTCAAATGAAACACAGAGTTTCAAATGATCTTTTAAAAAAATGGCAGGAAAACTGATTAACGGTGAAACACATGGATGAGCGGCTTTTGACTCAAAGACAAAGGGAGAGCTTGGTCATGCGTTTGCTGTGGGGTTCCTTTAAAGTTTTTTTTTTTTTTTTTAAGTAAGTAGAGATGTGGTGAGTTGACCTTAGCAGAGACCTGAAAAACCATCCTATTAAACATCTGTGGCATAAAAGGTCGGGGTTAAAGCTAGATTACTAAAGCCAGGAGATCAGAGATCAGTGAAATGCTATCACTGGGAGCTCTGCCTTTACCACACACACACAACACACATCCCCAATCCAAACTACAACACTTACATGCCTGGTCTAGATATGAAAATGGTGAAAATAGCTAATTCTGATGTGACGTTCGCCTCCTTCTTTTCAATACCACTTGTTACATTTGGTCAAGCAGACACAGGGAAAACAACAATATGCAATACCAATGCTGTTCACATAGAAAGCATCCATCCACAGTACTGAGTTGCATCAGAATTCTCTGGAATATCAGCAAAAAGTCCTTGCAAAACTGAAGGTTTGCAAATTAAAGAACCTATGAGATTAATTTGAATCTGATCAACTTTCATCTTACACAAAAACAAACGGGAAATGGCCTTCAAATATGTACGGCAACTCTATGATAATCTCACCAATCATTAGAAAAGCAGAACAAGTCCTTGCCCACGCCAAATCCTTGGAGGTTCTCTCCATTTCTTTTCTTCTTGAGCTGCAATAGAGCGAGAGGTGTTGAGGACCAGACAACGTTTAAGCACATGATCGTTTTGTATCTGCAGGGAACAGATCTCTTTCAAACAAAAGAGCTGAAGCTCAAGTGTCCAATTCAGTGCCCCTCAAATGTTTCATGAACTCCTTTAAGCAGTACAGAATTGTTACCCTTCTGCTCCATAACCGACAAGGTGAAGAGATCATTTTGGTTTTTTGAGACAGATCTTTTCCAGGAAAGAAAATACTATTTCTTAAAGTCTTCTGTGTTTCCTATCAAAGACTGAAGAGAGAGAGCGACCTGACAACTGGCTCGATTGATCTGCCGTGTGGAGGGAGAGCGTTTTGCACAGTTGGGTGCTTTGATCAATCCAGAAACGCCTCACAAACAAGAGCTAAACAAACATCTCTTCAACATTCACTTAGTTGATTCTTGGATTGTTCAAATCCAACCATCCATTACAAATGTCCATTTGATCCTGCACAGTCTGGCCTCTAGTCCAGCCCAAACTACCACAGAAAGAGAGGCAAACTAAACAGTTTTTGGATATCATGTTTTTTTATCCTTCACCTGAAGCCGTCTGGGGAGGTGTGGCCCTTTGGCTCACACCTGGAGCCAGTTCAAGGATCTTGTAGTCAGGCTTGCCAGTTTCACCTCCCCAGGGCCAGATGATTTCTTCTTTTCTGCACTTTCCTCAGTCTGAGCCTGCTATCATGTTTCCTTGTAATTCTGTGCCATTTGATTCAAGCTAGCTTGGAATTTATACTGGTTTTGCTCTTCTGTAACAAACAGGAACAGAGGGGCCAGAATTCAGCCAGAGAAGATCAGATAGCGATAGAGAACAGTTTATTTGGATTGTTGTGGAAATGTTATTTTAAAAACAAAGTCTGAGTCCATCTGAGGAAGAAAAACTTCACGAAGTGAGAACAACCTCCACAATCATACAATCAGCTCATAGTGCATTTTATGCCCCTCTCAGAGTCTAAAATGAGGTAAAGTTTGTCTTCCGTCCTGCACCTGTATTAAAAGATTCTCAAGACAAAACATTAAGAGACTAAATATAAGGAGACCTTGGAGGAAAGAGACCCATGAGAAAAAGAAACCTTCAAAATGTCACTTGTGGAAAGTTACCAGAGCAAAGTGAAGAAATTGATTATACATATATAGATTTCCCCCAAAGGGATGTAAACTACTGCAGGTAATCGGTGGTCACAGGACAGGCCAAAAGATGATCAGAGATCCAGGAACAATCCAAAGCAGAATCCGGGGGGCAGAGTCAGGGCACAGAAACAGGTCAGAGATCCAAGCGGCACTGCAGTCAGGTCCGACAAGGGTCAGGTAGGCTCAGAGAATTCAGAGGGCAGAAACAGGCCGGCAGACAGGACACAGGAAGGCTGGATTAAACTCACCGGTGGCTCCTAATAATCCGGCACTAGTGACTGGTCTGAGAGCTGGTTGTGAAGTCAGAGGTGCAGGTGGAGCTCGTTATAGCTGATGAGGAGCTGCACAGGTGTGTCCAATGACTGATCAGGCCAGCACTAGAGCCAAGATTGTGTATTTGACTTTGTGTTTTAGATTTTAAATTTTTTTTCCAGATCCCCATTCTCTTTTTAGGGAGTGTTATTTCCTTGGCCTGCACAGCAAATACCAGCGAGGTATTTATCCATTTTCTCTTCTGGCAGTATTTTGGTTAATGCATTTCCTGTGCTTTATTTTTTTTTTTACAGTCCTTTTATATTGATACTTTTTCCTGTTTTTCTGACAGTGATTTTTGTGATTTACTTTTTCCTGTCTATTCACAGTGATCTTTAGTTGGTAAAAATAAAAACCTGGTCAACTTTCTGCACGTGGATCCACACTCCACCGCTCCTAACACTAAACAGAGACAGAAAAACCCTCACACTCGCCCTGAAATACAATTTCTAATTTTTAGTTATGGGGGCGTGCATGTCTAGACTTTGAGAGGTCTGACCACCCAGATAAAACTAAAGAGAACGGAGAACCTTAAACTAGGGCGTTTCACGCGGACTCACTCTGTCTGTTCTAATCCAGAAATGGCAATGGTAAGCACTGTACCGCTAAGCCAATGCGCGCATATATCGTACGAGAAAATAATCCTGATCACACCGAATGAGTTTTGTATGACCTTCCCTCCTTTCAGTATTCATGAAGTCTCTGAATAAGACTCGGTGTTTGCTTGTATTTTAATTCAATATACAATGTATAATATGACGTGTTGTCAGCAGTGTGCAGTTACAGTAGACGATTAGAAGGCCTCGGATGCAGATCTTACAGATAAAACTGGTTGCAGCCAGAGGCAAGCAGTAGGTTTTCACAAGGATGAAAGCTTGAATCAATGCTAAGCTGATCTGAATCTCCTTAACTGTCACATTAACTGTCAAATGGGGGAAAAACTAACTGACTTCGACAGATCTTATGTGAGGAAAGTGTCTGTAATGGCTCCTTTGCTTTTAAACACTCTTACACATCCATACTTACACAGATAAAAGTGGACAAGAGTTTATCTTATTTAAAATGTTCCAGACATTGCAACCATTTTGATCTAAATGACGCTATTTATGGATTTAGTGCTAAAAGTTTGAGCAAATTTGGTATAGCGTCAGTAAAACAAAGGTAACGAAGTAAACACATGGGCTATTTTGTTTATAGATGCGTTTATAAAAGTGAGGATGCCAGTTTTTGCATGCTGCTCTGAAACACCCGTGAATGAGGGCAAGAATGCTGATGTTTATAGATGTATATTGGAACTCATTTGACAGTGCTGTGTGTGTGTGTGCATATTCGTATAGTCAGCTAACCCTTAAAGTTTACATTTCAATCCATGTTCCATTGGCCAACATCTCTTTCCTCGGGTCCACTTTGGTGAAGCCCTGTTTTGCTCTCTGATTTGTCGCCTCAGCAGAATAAACAAGCAAATGTACAAGACCGATAACAGGCAAAAACAAAGACCAAAAGGAAATAAAAAATCAAACAAACAGACAAATGAGAACAATACGTTTATGAAAACGAATTTATAATAAACTGTAATAAAAGTGGCCTTTTTGCGTAGCTTTTCTGGCCAACTGTAGAGCTCCCGTTGCTCTCTCATTAGCTGTTCTCCTGTCCCCTGCCCCTCGGTTTCACTCATCCCTGTCTCCATATACTCTCTTATTCCAATTAATGCTCCTCTCCTTTAGGCATCGGTTGTTTCCATAGGAACAGTGTCCGTAGTCGATGCTGGTTGTCTTGGCAACAGTGAATTGGGCGAGTGTGTATTGTGTGTGTGTGTGTGATGCTGCGTGCACATGTGGCATGTTAACTTGATTTGGGTTTGCCCCCTCACTGTGGCACAGGTGTTTTGTGCTGTCATCTTTTCTTGACTTGATATTTAATTACATATGGCCGGAAAGGCTGAGCCGAGGCAAAGCTCCCTGACCTTCAGCACTGTGCACATATTAACAAACTGCTACCTCTTAAAAAAAACACACAAAAAACACACAAGACTTGATTTCGATTAGCTATAAGACAAAAATAATTCTAATGGAAACAGCAATATGATAGTGAATGTTTAGCGTTAAATAGAAAGACATTGACTGTCATTACAGGCCCAATATCTAGAAAAGTTGAGAAAATTGTTTTAAAAAAATAATGTAAAAAATGTAAAAGTTGAGAAAATTGTAATAAAAAAAAAAATGTTTAAAAACATGTAAATAAATTTAATTTAAATCTATATGTTCAACACTTTGAAACCTTATCAGAAATGACGTTTAAGTATTTTGTTATCTGACTATCTTTTAGTCAGATAGTCATCAATTGAATCCAAGGAATATTTATTTATGCAAAACTGAAAATAACTCCACCACATCTCAAGCCTAAAAGCTAAAGTAAAGGCTGTATGACAACTTCTTGGATCTTAGAGAATGTAAGGTTTCTTCAGTTTACAACGCAGCATCGTCCCTTAGAAGATTCATGGACTGGGGAAATGTCAGTTTATAAAGGGCAAGGCCTAAAAACACCTTGGCATCTTTGAGTCCTCTCTCCTTGTTTTACTTCACATGTTCACCCTAATGGTGCTTTGTTGTTCTTTTGCCCAAATGTGCACTTGTCATTTTGTTCTGTGGCAACCGTCATACAGAAAGAAGACGTATCTGTGTGATCCATTAAACTTAAAAGAAGGTAAAAAACCAGAGTAAACCATTCAAAAACACAAAACACAGCTGAAATGGGAAACACGGATCACCGTTTGACTCCACTGTGAAGCTATGTTTCAACTCTAAGCGTAAATCCCAGCTGGGATTTCTGGGAAAGAGTGCGTCTAACATGGGATGGAAGATGTTGGACATGAGTGGGGGACATTACAAGTCACTGGCAAAGAGCAGAGAGGATTTTCTGGTATCACGTGGTGGCTAACATTCTGCACTGGGGTTTTTTTTTCAAATCTGGAACACATCTGAACCTTTGTATTTTAAATCTTCCTCATTAAAAAGTCCTATAGATTAAAGCCTGTGCTCAGACTTTACCGTAAGTGTTGTGAAAAGAGGGAGTTCATATTGATGTGCAAAGCTACTCAACTGAGACCAAGACCGAGACTATGTAGATTTTAATAGGTGCCATGAATGCAATGCATGCAGTCATGTTTCCGAGAAATCAAAATTATTTATGTTTAGCGCAGTTTTCAAGCCGTGTCACTGGACTTTACTCCTCACGTCCAATCTTGTAAGCTTAAAACATTGTGGTGTGTGTGTGTGTATGAACATCTGCAGGAGAGAGCTGAACGTCGGAGGGGGGCCAAAGACTATATGTGGAAACAGGAGCAAAGGGAGTGCGTCTGGCTCCGGGGGCTTCCCCGTTCAGCTGGGACAAACCTCAGCCCTGGACAAACAACAGTATCTGCAGGCACAAAGAGCAGGCAGGAGGTAAACAATGCAGATGGGATTTGGGATGAAATCAGCACAGAGGGGGAAAATAAAGAGAAAAAAAAGGATAAATAATTGATTATATGACAAATAAATGCAATGTATTAATTACAGAGTATCCATTAATCCAAAAATAATCTAAACTAAACCACATTTGTGTTTATGTTTGCAAAAGAATTCAAGCTGAAATCATAAACCGAATATGGCCCGCTCTCAACTCACTACAAAGCACATCCTGTTCTGTTTTGGTGGTGATATTTATGTGAACAGGACATGCCATCTGCCAATTTGAGTTTGCAAGTCTGTGTACGACTGCGCACGTGCTGCTAATCATCGCAGAGCCGTGTGAAAATTCTCTCAAGAGCCGGGGGGGATTCAGCTCAGCAGTCCATTCCCCGATACACTCGCACAAACACGCTGCTCACAAATGAGCATGCACGTATGCAAATTGGACGCGCGCACAAATGCTGATGCACAAGTGGGATGATGCCCGAAAACAAACATGTGTGTTAATCCGACGGAGTGGTGCATGCACACACAAAGCCCCGCAAGAAGCCATCAAGCACCGCGAGCGTAAAGACTAAAGTCTGCAGACGTACACAAATGCACTTACACACCCTGTTTTTGATCCCTTGCTCAAATCACTACACATGCGCAGCCTGAACTGCCGTCTCCCATGTTCTCCATCCCTCACGTGTGCTCCAGTGCTCTACTTTCACTCTGCTGAAACTGCTGCCCCCTCCCCTTCGATAAATAAAGAAATAAAATAAACGCAAACCTACACACACAGCAGAGGAATGAACAGGCATGCAGGGACATCAACACACACACACACTCAGAAATATTGCACACATGCATAGCAGCACACTAAGATAGAGACAAATACATGCGGGCCAGCACACGCGTTCACATGTTTGCAACAGGGCATGTTTTTTTAGAACATGAATGTTCACACATGCGTAAAAAGACATGCGCGTGTGTGTAAATGGGAGGAGAGGGAAAAAAAGCTCACAAGGGTGACTGGATGAAAACACGAACAATGATTTAATCAAATATACTATAGATAGCCCTTTTGAAACGATTATTGATTGACAGCATCTCAGGAGCTGAAAATCTAATTGAAACCTTCACTTTTGATATACTTTCTGAGAGTAAACATTTAAATCTGGGAGTAAATATTCATTTACAGAAAAAGCTTTGAGAATAAACTTTGTGCGTGTGTGTATTTGGACCTTTGATACGGAATTCATATTTCTAATACTTACAACAATCAGATCCAGAGAGGCTTTAAATATTCAGGAAACACACTTTTTCCCTTTGGCAGCTCGAACAGTAGAACTTTTCATGTGACACCGATCGCAACATATCAAGCTCACCAACGGACCCGTGCCGAAAAGACTAGCTGAAGGGTTGCTGGTTTTTTGTAATTACTACAAGTTAACATCATTTTGTCAACTTCGGAGCACCGTGCTAGCCCTGAGCACAAAAAAAAGGTTATGATCTAGGAGCTCAACATTTGTCCTTGCGCACGTGAAGGACTTAAGGGGGGTCTGTATGAGTTTATGCAAAATATGAGCCCAGCACCTGGGCGGGAGTGGTGAGTGTACCTCTCAGACAATGTCCTCTGTTCGCAAATGAGCAGTCACCCCTCATCAAAAGGAGAGATTGGCCTCTTTGCAGCGGAGTCGGATGAATTATTTATTTGTCGTAACATCTACAGTAGATTACATTTGTTACCGCTTGGAGAAGCAGACCGACACAGAGCCCAAACTATGTGCGGTTTCAAAACAGAAATATCTTTATGAGTAATCTGGTTTACCTCACCATACACAAATACAGTTTATGAGGCTGTTGTTGTTCTGTAAACCTGGATTTGAGGAGAGAAGAGAAGGATATAGTAGCTCCAGCTCCAGCACCCACTACCTACCAGTTAATAAAGCAGTGATTTTCCCTAAAGGAGTTAACATCAATGCCTGGCATGCTGACTATTTCTCCAACCTGAGGTTTAACAATCTATCGTTGCTATTAATCTGATAATATACAGAAGCACATTGTACAACCCCACTTGAGTGAGATGAAGGGTACTTCACTTTGCATCCAGTTATGTAATCCACAATTCTTTTTGAAACTATGGCTTTGTCAAACTATGGCTTTGGAAGCAGGCAGGATGAAGCTCATCTTAATTGTAAGTGTTACTTCCATTTTGTGACAAAAACAGGCATGTAATTCAAAGAACTAATTACGATAGTTTCCTGTACACTGTATTCTGATTTCACCTGGTGTGGCAACATAGGCGGCCTTATTCGTGACCTTACTTGACTTTTTCAGTAGCATGCCAGTTCAACTATAGTTAAGATCCATGTATAAACTTAGTAAAACTACATGAAACCTGGTATACACAACATCTTTTTCTGCTTTTGGCAAACGGCTGTGATACTCCTGGAATTTCAGATCATCTCCGTTTGTAAAACAAATTGACAAGGTTTACTGCCTCCCATCTCTTTTTAAGAGTCCTGCTCCGCTAAACAAACTGAGCCGAGCTCTGCTTTCTGCCCTCATCAGGATGATGTCACACAGAGTCCTGTTTATACCCCGCAGATACTGGAGGAACGTTTTGCAATTCAATTATTTATACATTCTTTTCATCATTCTGCTAAATGTTGCCAAAAGTTTGGGTTTCGGGCTTTTTTCAGCCAAATACATAAATATTCATAAAATAAATAAGAGCCCAAAATCACACGAGACCGAGAGCCGTAAAGTAGACGTGGCATTTGTGGGGAAATTTCCAATATGCTGAAGCTCCAAAAGGCAACACTGTAAACGAAACAGTTAAAATGAAGTATTAAGTTTACACTTAATTTCTACTCAATGCACAAATCTTATTTCTTCTAAGAGCAAATTGAGATGGAAAGAAGAGTTGACCAGAGAGGATGAATTAAACGGATTGATATAATCTAGTTTATCTTTGTACCAAAAGTTCAACTATCAGTGGAAACGTGCAGATATCAAAACACAAAGGACGTTTCTACACGACGTTCAATGGTATCCGAATGTAAGAGATGCATAGAGTTTTGTTTTGTTTTTTTTTTAAATCAGAAAATTCAATCTCAAAGTGTGAGACGGCAGGCTGCAGTGCTTCTGCGTGGTATTTCTGTTCGCCGCGTGTGAGCCCACATCTGAATGCTCCCCGGGGCCTTCCTCCCGGCAGGCACCCGGGCCTCTGGGTAACAAAGCAGCCCAGAGCTCTGCACAGCGGTAGCTAGGAACAACCGATCAATGTCACCGGTGTCTCTGCATTCAGCCAACAACCGGATCAATTAATGACACGAGTCGGTTTCCAAAAAGCTGAAATGCTGGGTAGGATGTCAATGGCGGTTATTTAAACCCTGCATTTAATTACCTACAACACAACGACGCATGGAATGATGCAAAAGAAAAATAGAAATGGCATTTCAACTAGCGCCTGCTTAAAATATTCCTTGAGCATCATTAATTGGATATTTCTTGTTCGGTATAAGATGTCACCTGATTTTTACTTTGGAACCTTTGTCGGTAAATTAAGCTTAATTATCCGTAGTGGGTTAAGGATTACTACGAAAAAGCCATGGTGCTTGAATATACACTCAGTGTTTTGCTGTTCAGCATCAATGATGGGTTTGCAAATAAGCTGAAGTTCTCCAGCCTCCACAGATTTGTACGTGATACGTACGTAACGCTGCTTCCCACAGTGAAGAACTTCCTCTCTCGGAAGCCATCTAAGAGGTGCTCCATGAATCCCAGTGACAACAGTGCTTGTTTCGGATTATCTTCTGTTTTCCAAAAGTATAGTATCTGCTATCGAATTCAAAATTACCCAGATATGACAACAAAAAAAGGAACTCAATATATCTGTTCTACAGAGCAATGAATGCTGCCTCAATTGTGTTAAATCTAAAAGATGAATCTAGTCAAATTTCAACAGCGCAGATTGATCGAGGTGAAATACGCCAAATTGTCAAGTGTATTTTGGTAAACCTCGATTCCTTGTACAATCTCTCCTCCAGTCGGACCACCTCCGGTGACACTTCTGTTTTGTTAAATCCCCTTAAAATACGGTGAAGTGGATATGTGACTCAATATAACGGGAATGACTTCAAAACAAGCAGACTCAACTTACTCAAAATTAATTTATGTCTTCTAGAAATGAGTTGTCATAAAGTAAACTCATCTCTTTAAATAAGTCCAGGGATACGTTTTTACCTTTTTAAACAGTACCAAAGGTTAGCAATTAAAAGTGCTAGTCTGAAATGGTATCCAATGAGAGTCTCCATAGCAACAGCTACAGTGATTCATGGAGCGTGTCAGGCTGTGAAATAAATTTCACACCTCAGTGCACAACAGCCTCTATGGTGAGATTCTATTCGTGTGTATTTGTGTGTGTGTGTGTGTGTTTGTGTGTGTGTGTGTGCGTGTAGAAGCTAGCAATAAAAATACCACTAGGTTGGCTGCTAAACCCTGCTTCCCATGCTTCTGTATACAGGTTGTCTGTTTACCCAGTGACTGAGATCAGGCACGATTTCTTCCCTTCTGCTGGAATTGCTGGTGGACTTTATTTGATCGGTGTGCCTAAATCTTGTGTTCAGTTACAGTTTTATTCAAGCCAGGAGGATTGGACTGGTCACACTTTGTGCTTCAGCACATTTCAGACAACATATCTGAGGTTACATATGACTACATACAAATGAAAAGGTTATGTAGGGCCTGTATAGTCTTTTTCCCGCGTTTAACAGAGATTTGGTGGATCCAAGGATATTTAACTCATTGGGCCATCTTTAATGGCAAATCTTGACTTTACAGGTTTAAATAATATCCAATGCAAATGCCAGTAAGTACGCATAAACCTTTTCCAAGATTTGTTTTAGTTGTGAGAAAACATTAATTTTATGGTGAAACATCTTTAAAGTTATAAATTGAAGAAGAGCTCCTGGGACAACTCAACCCATTAAAGTCATCGTTCTTGTTTTAGCCAAAGACAATCTCAGACTGTAATGTGACTGGATGTAAACAAAGAATTAGCCACCTGACGCCTACACTGCTCCCTTTTAATATTTCTATCCGAGGGAAAGTTTCCGGCTGATGTAATCACTGGCTGTCTTTCTGGAAACGAAGCGGTTCCATGCAGTGGTGGATTATGCAAGACCCCTTGTGTAGAACAACAGATCATTTCATTTTCAGAGGCAGCATGTGTTCATTTCGGTTGCAGTTTGAGGTATAGGTAGAGGCATAAAGACTTAACCTCTGTTCTGAAATAACACACTCAGCAAAAGAGTCTCTCTCTCTATCTCCCTTACTGAATATGGAGTCTGCGAATGCTAATGCGGGACTATCCATAAGGCCTTTAACTGTCATTGGAAATAACACAACAAAGTGAAAAAGTTGAAATTGTGAAGCCCTGTAAAACATTTCAGTGAGCTAAACAGACGTTTTTATCCTTTGAGTGCGAGGGACCTAAAAAAAAAAACTTCAACGATCAGGCTGACCTCATGCCCTGCTGATGTCTGTGAAAGTATTCTGGGTGTTCTGTGCTGAGGGCAAAGTGGCAAACAACAAAAAGGCAATAAAAAAAAGGAAAAAGAGGACATAGACAAGCAGAGTGAAAGTCAAGTGCTCAGCCTGTACTGACGGCGCAGCACTCTGCAGCCGGCTCCAGCAGGCTGAGCACGGGCGGCTTACCGAGGATGTAAGAACCATTTAAACAAGGCTTCCCATTATGTTTGCAACAGAATTAGAGCCGTGCATCATTACACACATGCTGTTGTTACTGGGTCAATGGCTTAATGCAGTTATAGATTACCAAAATGCAATGAAACTTGAAAAATTCTCATTTTGTTGCACTTCTTGTATTTGCCAAAGATCAGCAAAGGTAAATAATTTAACCAAAATGTGGTTTCTCCCTGATCTGAACATGAGATTGATCATCTTTGACTGCATCGTTTTCCATCATTTTCATCATTATCTTTCACCCATGACCGCTTTTTCTATAATCATTAAGATCACAGATTTTATATTGAGCTGTGCAGCGGTTGTCTTCCTCCCGTCCTCTTTGAGTCTCTCCTTTGCTACCTTCCTCCCATAGGTCTCATACTGGCACACTGCTCATTATCTTCCTGTCAGTCTTGGTTTCTGTCTTTCCCTCTCTTCTCCCACTCTCTCTCCCCTCTCTTGCCATGCAGTTTCCTTACCCTCCACTTTTTTTTGCATTTTGATCAACTCATTCTGACTTTTCTGTGATTTCAGCAAAAGATCCTTCAGGGATATCCTTCCTTCTCATCCCTCTCTTTCTGCCATCCCCTTCGTTTTCTTGCTTCTGCTAAACTGTTCACACATCGTTTCCTTGTTCTTCTTTGTTCCTCGTCTCTTTCCATCTGCCCTCCTCTTCTCATTTGTTAGAATGTTTTTTTGTAAGAGCGCCGGCTCCCAGCAGACCTCCCACATTTCTGCATAACACACGCACACACACACACGCACACACAGGAATCGTGACTGCTGTACCCATGTGAACCTCGGTGTTGCGCAGAGGACGCAAAGAACTTATCGGTGACTACATACACACGTAAATGGATAGCAGCAATCACACACACGTGTACTCTCAAAGTGTGTCACAAAGACAGCTCGATCACAGCCCCACAGTAATGTCACTACACAGCCCTGAGCACGGAGCAGGTGAGTGAAACCAACGCATAAGAGGGGAAAACGGAGTGAGAATCAAAGGTGAGGAGAAAAAAATGTTGCAAAAGGAAGCAGGTGATGGATAGTGAGAAGAAACCCCCACCCTGTAACTTTTATGGTCTCCAAACTGAGCTGTGATATGAACACAGACCGACTCCTGTTGAACAGGAGAGAAATCCTGCCATCTGTCAATCAACCTCCCTCACTGATCTGCCTCGGATGCTTCCTTCTGTTAGAGGAAAACACCCAGAACCCCGTCTCCCTGTGCATGTGTGTGCCCACACACAGCAGACAAACAACAGTGGATGTGCCTTTTTTAATGAATGGGTAGGGTTCAAAGCTGTAAAAAACCAGAGTTCATCAGGTAAAAATGTTATTCTTTCTAGAACAGGATAACATTTATGAAGCATCGCAGTCTTTAAAGGGTGACTGATCGCATTAACGACACAGAGTACAAATGGATATGAGGGATGAGGATGAACTAATGAGAATCAGATCTGATATTAAAAGTAAATAGATGAACCCACTGGGCACAAATGAGACTATTGTGTCATAGACCTCTTAATGGTCAAACTCAAAAAGGTGACAAATGTTTGCAGATGCAGAATGCAGATTCTACACAAAAAAAATTTGCATCAACACAAGAGGAAACTATAAGAGAGGGTGTGGCCTGTTGCTATGCTAATGTCTAATTGTCTGCACATTAACATGTAATCATACAATGCAATACAATGTTTGTGTATAGTTCCAAAATGTCAGAATTTTGAAAATACACGCTGAAATGTTGACCTTTTCCTCTTCTACGCCGACTGTAATTTCATATTCAGTTCACATGCTGAGCCTGAACTCAAACCTGTTATTACGAGCTAAAGTTTTGATTGGAGCCTATCTGGTTGTGCTTCAGACATGATAGTGAGAGGCTCCTGAGTAATTCTTCCCTATTCAGAAATTGTGATCTACCTACTTCAGTTAATAGTGGTGTACTCTTGCCTCGGTGTGTCAATGTCTAACATGGCTAATGGCCAAAACATTGTCATTGTCTCCCCGACACAGTCGCAGTTAGCGCTGCGGCCCATAGCTGAGTGCTCTTCACGTCTTGACAGTCAAGTGATGGGCCGTGGAGTGGAAATGTTAAGTGCCACCATTACTGATTTGACTGTCAGAAAGTAATTTGCAGATGAACTCTTATTGTGGGCTATGTGATCCCTCTCTGTACGACACTTAAAGGTAAAACAAATGCACTTCATCTCGTGTACATGTGACCTTTGTTTTGTTCAAATGCATTCCAGTCTTTCTGAGCAGGACTTCACTCCTAGTCCAGTGAACCATTTACAGAGGATGCTAAAAAGTTTGCTCTCTAACAAGATATCACTCCATGCACTGGAACAGCTACTCAATGTCCAGAGAGCATAACAACACCAATAAACCCACTGAAAAACCTTCAGCCGACAAATTCCCTACGTGTCTTGGAGATGATACTTTCACATAACTTATGTATTGTTCCTCATATAAAATATCCCTTTACTTTGACTCTAGTTTAGGGATAAGTTTTTATACTTAATCTCTCTTAGCCCCTCAGTTAAGGTTGTCTTAAGACAGTCCTCTGGATTAACAGGCTTAAACATGCAGCGTTACGCAACCACCTTTGTGTCTTACACTAATCTTTATAAAGGGCTTTCAAAAAGGATATGGAGTAGTCAGCCAGTGAGGCAAATAAGCTGTCCAGAAAGGTCTGGGAGGGCAAAAAATAAAATAATTAAAGAAAAGAAAAAAAGTTGTAATTATATTCCAATTTATTTGGGATTTTTGTTTAAATGGATTTAAGAATACAAAAAATGTGAAAAATGTTTTTCGGTGAATTTACAGTCTGCAGCTGGTCTGAGAAAAGCCTGATACTGCATTGCAGTGTCTCACTCGGTGCAGAAAATGTGACCTGACTGCTGGTGAACCAAGGGTTTTAGCCTCTGGACAATGCTTTTCTTGCTTTCTTCATCAGCTATAACGTCCCACTGACTGGGACCGTGCTGGGGGACTAAAGAAGCTTCACTGGGAACTTCCACACTGGGTTCTGGGGACTGACTAGTTACCACACCTAACAGCTCATTTTCAGTGACACAGAGCTGCAAATCCAGTTAAGTTGGCATCATATCCACTGCTCTGGAAACACCGCATTTGTAAGAACTATGATGACCTAAAAGAATCATAGCCTCTCAACCACATTATTTTGAACAGGAGGCGAGATGCCGGATATTTTACGCGTTCATAATAAACCGGCCAGCCGAAATCAAGATACAGCTAGCGATTTGGGTGGCAGCCAACACATTTATAAAGTCCTTTTCATAAGAGCAGCGAAAATTACAATAAAAGTTCAATCTCAATGATAGACTGACCTCAGTCTTGTATTTCAAATTTGATAGGTTATCATACAACAAAAGATGACTCTGTTTGATCTGTTGGACTTTCTTTTTCGAGGGCTTAATCGTTGATATGGTGGGCATGTTTTCATCTCAGAGCTCTGTTTTCTTCACAGAGCACTAAGTGTTTATTTTTTCAGTATCCTATATTGCATAAATAAACAGACCTCTGCTTAGTTGATCATTTAGTTTTTACTAACTTATTTGAGGATTGAAGCCGCATTATGAAAAAGCTGCCATGTATATCATTTAACGTGATAATATTTCAAGGCTAGACATTTCGGATTTTGGCAACTAATCATAAATTAAACACATGTTCAACATCCAAACAAAGAATACAGACAACCAACCAAACAAAAAAACACAATACCTCCATCAGAGCTTGGTGAATGAAGCAGGCACTTTCAGGTGACACTTCCCAAGGTGTTTTCTCCTCCACCATGATGGCATCCAGAGTGGCCTTCTCCAGGATGACATCAAACGAGGCGTCGGAGAAGGCGAGCTGCCGAACGTCCATCTGCTTCCAGGTCATGCTGGGACAGTCGCTGTACCTGGCACTCATATTACTGATGCACACCCAGGAGTAATCGATATTGGTGATGGCGTGGTAGCCGGCCCTGTACATGTCGCCGCTCATGCTGCTGTTTCCACAACCTGAGGGAGGAGAAACAAGACCAAATATTGCCAGGTGAAAAGAGCAGCCCCCGGAGGTAGAGAGGACAGAAGGTCCTATACTGAGGAGGATGACTAAGCCAGGAGGATGAACTGGTAAGAAGACCGAAATTCAAATTCCCATTTTCGGTATTTATAGAGTCTGGTTTTTCCTGCTTCGGCCGCTGCTACCCCCCAAACTGACCCCGGATAAGCGGTGGACAATGGATGGATGAATGGATGTATAAAAAATAATGTGATCATTCCCACACAACTACATTTAACATCTACAAGAGCAGACTTTTGCTGGACCGCCCGATGTGTCCGAGGGGAAAAGATCTCACAGATGGAAACAGGACTGTGTAACATTTTGTAGTGCTTTATACAATTTCCACTCTAAACTGAATGAAAACCCGGTATGAAAATTAAATGTTCTTTTAAAAAAAATCATGTTAATGGTATTTGTTTTTTCAAAAGCCGTATGCCACATTAGTGACACGTTATTGTAAATGTATGCATATACCACCTGATGGTACACATACATTAAATGACTAAAACCATTTGCAGGCAGACCTAAGTAAGCAACAGCGTTTACTTTCTGATCAGCCCACATTTTAACGGGTAATTAGAGCCCCCAAAACAACTGACTAATGTCAAACACTCTTTCCCAGGAACCCTCTGAAGGCTCTTACAGCTGCCGACATGCTGGCTACAAAACAGATTTATCTATCAATGATTCACAACTTGTTTCAATTGAATCAATATTAACATTGATGAACGGATACAGCTTAGAAATACAAAATTACATATTAACACGCGGTCTACAACAGCATCTTAATAACCAAAGCACTGTGCTTGATAAAATACATGAGGATGGCTGTGGTATCATGGCGTCCCCACCACACCCCTCCTTCCCAGGTCACAGTACCACAGTGCAATGGCAAGCTTAAAGCAGAGGAGTGGAAAATGGTCCTAATAGGTCATATTTATACATCTGTGAACAATGAATGTTCAAAACAGAAACCCAAGCGTAATAAATGAAAAGTGTCACAGAAAAGCCCATTGCTCACTGGTAAAGTGAGCTGAAGCACATGGAAAATCTTATTTTCAAATAAAAATAATCCTCTTTTTTTTATCCCCATTATGACTGTGCGGATTGAACAAAGTGGTGTTACATGGACCAAATCCTAACGCTATCAAGATTTTAGGGAGGAATCGTGTGTAATTAGCACAGCTTATTCTAAGGTGATACCTCACTGACAGATAATACAAATGTGAGAGCCAAAGAGGGGAATAACATGATAACAAAAGAGTTGTGAACAGAGCCTCACATGTAGCGAGACAAGATGAAAATAACCAGCTGATCGCAGCATCTCACCTTTCGGTTCAGATGACTCAGATGGTGTGGATGGAGGAGGAGGAAGAGGAGTGGGTGGAGATGATGGGCAAAGACAAAGAGGAAAAGAAAGGAGTAGGAGGAGGACTTATGGGGGAAACATAAGCTCTTCTGAAGCTCATATTCGGTCTCACCAAAAAGGTCGAGCGTGGGGTCTCTCAAGATAGCCATGATTTCTGCTACTTTTTACACTTGTGGGGGGCGCACATCTGTATTCAGTAGCAGCTGCCGGGGGACGTGTGGCGGAGTGTGACGGGTGGGGCTGCGACTTCCCACAGCACGCCGGCGCCGGCACGACACCTCCGATCGGAACGAGTGGCTGTCGCTCGTTATCACCTTACCGCTGCAACTCATTACGAGCCAGCGACAGCTTCCCGATTGTGTGCCAGCCTCTGAGAGTGATTCAGTTTCCAGTCTCGCACCAAACAACGTGTCGGCAACCTGTTCAGATTTGCGTGCACTTGTGTGTGTGTGTGTGGGGCAGTGGGTGTCAAAAGCAGATGTTACACAGTCAAAGATAGCAGCACACGAATAAAAAAGAGGAAGCGGCGAGAAAGAAATGGATTCACGTGGATATAAAGTGACGATCCGGAAATGCTCTGACAACAAAAGCCTTTTTAGAAAATGACAATACTATTTTGTCTTCAATATCTTCACTATTCGCTATGTCGATGGTAATAGAGTTTACATTTTGATGCGTGTCTTTACACAGGGCAACATGGCAGTGACCGTGGAACGGTCAGCCTTTTTACAGGGGTTTCCTTGCAGCTTAATGCAACGATTTATCTTAAAAGGAAACGAACCGTGAAATCACTGAATTTGACCGTGTTCCATTTGCAGGACAGAAAACCTGCAGGATTAGCTCATTGTGCTCACTAAACTCTAACCTACTATGAGATTGACTGATGACAAAGCAATGTGCTACGTATATCAAACAGATTTAAACATGACCTCGATAGAGGCTGGGCAGTACTATGAGTGCAACTTATTCAGTGATACACAAACTGATGCTACATACTAACAGTCATCCTCACTTGTTACGCCAAGGACAGCCATGTTTGATTCTGAGGTAAGGCTACGTAGAGCGGTTGCTATGGCTTTCCAAGTTTGATATCCAATATTGGAAAAAAGCTGATATTTTCCAAACTCTCAAATTCCAACAACTAAGTTCAAATTGAACACACCATTGAGCTGCCTTCCAATCTTCTTATGATTGTTGTGTTTCTGCAGCGCTTCCTTTTTGCCTCATCAGAAGTGTCTCACATAAAAATACCCTATTACCAGCATTTAAGTGGAATCTTTTTCTATTTCAATGTCCCTTTTCCACTTCCTTTGGGTTCTCGGCATATTTTCTTTTCTATTTTCACTGTTTGCTTGTAGTCGCATTATAGATACTCCTGACCCGGTGCCACAAAAACCCACACAGGTCCATGTCATCACAGCTCTTCCAGTTATTCCACATGTATGCTCCAGACTCACATAAACTAGCTGGAGAGATCATATTATTCCAGTTCAAGCTTCTCTTCACTGATCGACTGTTAAATTTAGAACGCAATCTAAAATCCTGCGACTCTTACTAACTAAGCTTTATCATATCTTTGCGACCTCAGAGTGTAATATTTTCCTAACGGAGCACTTTGCTCTCAGACTGCAGGTCTACATGTGGTTCTAAGAGTTTCTAAACTTAGAACGGGAGTCAGAGCCTTCAGTTATCAGGACCCTCTCTGTGGAAACAGCTGCTGGTTTGGGTTCAAGAAGCAGACACCGGCTCTCCCTTTAAGATTTGGCTTAAGGTTTTCATTTTATATCAAGCTTATAGTTAAGGATGGCCCTGGTGGCCCAGAAACATCCCAGTTATGCTGCACTAGTCCTTTACTGCTGTGGGACCTCCCATGATGGACCATTATAACTTACTTTGAGGTTGTTATTAACTTGTTTTTGCTGCCCCTGGTGCTTGTGTCCCTTTCTCCTGTCTTCTCAATCCCTGTGAGGTCCTGGCAGATGGCTGCCCTCTGAGTCTGGTTCTGCCAGGGGTTTCTTGATGTTAAACGGGAGGTTTTTATTCTCATCACGGTTGCCCCCTGTACACTCAGAGTTGGAACAAGGTGAATTTTTGTGCATTCTGTTAGCTTCCTTGGCAAACAAACCTCTTGAATTGGGTTTGTGTGAATTGGACCAATTTGGAATTTGATCCGATTTGACTGTAATAAAATTAATTTGATTCTAACTGGCTTGAACTGGACAGTAACTTTGAAGATGCAGTCCACATGGCGTGGATAACCCTGACATGGCTGTTGGGTTTTCCATTACAGAATTCCGAAACCACTTAGCGACAGCCGTCATTCTTAAATCTTTTTTCTCAAGTTTAGAACCGAATGCTCAAAGCTGAAGCCAACTGAAGGCCATGTTTTTAATTTACCAGTAGGTTGAATTTCTTTGGGTTTACAGCTAAAAGAAGAACTGTGTTACTGGTCCAATGTGTTACATGACAAAACAGAAAGTAAACCATCCATCCATTCGTTTTCAATACTGCTTATTCCCAGTGGGGTCTGGGGGAAAGTAAATCGTGTTTCAAACAAAGAAGTGGACCGCATTTGATGTTTGTGGACTGACCATCGATTGTTTTCCACATACTTATGTGTGTGCATGCGTTCACTTGTGCAAGCGTGTGTTCTGGACACCAGAGGGTGGAAGTTGCGCCAACTCTCTGTGAAGTTGGCTTCAAAACAAGGACTGAAAATATGTCATCCCTTCTCGTCGCACGCGGAGCAAAACATTTTCTTTGCGGGTGGCGAGAATGTGAAAAAATGTGCCAAGACTTGAAATACAAACATTAAAGACAACACAAATACTATGGCTTCAGCCTTTAAAAAAAAGCGATTTGACAACCCTCTTCAGGTAAGGGTGAGAGGGAAAACCTGGTTTCCGGCAACATATGCCGCTGTGCACAGCGGGTGAAATCACTGCTCTCCCCTCTCAAATCCCCCAGGCGCACCAGACATTGTTTCCAAAGGGTTTTCCCCACAGGCACACTGATGTGTGAGTGGGCGTGCCTTATCTTTTTCCATGTACTTTGCTCTGAGGAGGAGGAGGGGGGGGTCACATGACATCTTCTGCTTGTGGGCTGTTGCGACAATTATAGTTTCAGGGCTGTCATCAAGAAGAGAGCTTTCAATCTGGGTTGTGTTGCATCAGCCGGTGGCCCCGGCAGCCTCCAGCCTGCACCCAAACGGGTCCACCTACATGCAAAGGAGAGCCACACGGGAGCGGTGAGAGGGGCCTTATTTTCATTCAAAAACACTGATGAAATGACCTTTTTAAAGTTGGGGGGAAAAAAGTCTGACGCCACTATAAATACGTGTAGAGGCTCCAATGAAGTTTCGTGAAGTTAAGCTCCCAAAAACCAGGGAATGCCTTATTATCGGATCATTTAGAGCAGGAGACTTAAGTTAAGGGGCGTCATATCGCCTCCTTCTGCTGGACGTGGAACCATGTGATGGAACATTTCAGGCCCAGTCTTAAAATATTTCATGCCCCTCACATAACAATCTTGCCAAAATAAATCACCGTCCTAATGCTCCGTGTTAGCATACTCATTGCGTTTGCTTTTTTGTGCATCTCTTATCACACTGTGTTCCTGCGTGGCTTTTTTTTTTTTTTTTTTTATCAGACAGGAACGTTGGTTAAAGACGGAGCTTGTTCCCTGCAGCAGACTCGCAGATGCTCTGTCCAACAGGGGTTTCAGTCGAGTGTCTGATCTGATGGAGTCTGATATGCAAGAAACAGAATAACATGTGACTAACAGCTGTGGAGATACGGCTCAGGAAAGGAAACCTCTGAGGTAATGCCCAGGAATAACCCCGGATCACTCGGCTGCTGATACACAGATGTTTTTATCAGGCATATGGAATGAGCCTCACAACATCAAGCAACTGCACACGACGTGTCTCCCTTCAGAAAATTAGGAGAACTAGAAACGGAATTGCTGATTTTGGCTGAAGTTTAACCTCTTATCACTTTGCCGCATTAAATGATGCACAAGAGGATGAATTTTAGCTGTGCCTGAATGACAGCAAGGGTTCCGCATTTAAATCAAAGCAACCCAAGTCCTGAATTTTGGAGTCAGTCTCATTTCTCCACCTAAAAGCAGAGCAGTAAGGGCTTCTTTTACCGTCTTCATCCAGCAAACTGACCTTTGAGCATCAAGATGACAACCCTCCCACACGCAGCAGCTCCGGGGAGTCCATCTATGGTCAGGAGGGGTGGTGGGTGGGGAACCCCTGCGTGTGAGCCAGCGGTTTGCCGTATCAAAGCTGCCGTGAGTCAGGTGGGCCCGACGCCGCAGTGGAAACTCCATGATGTCAGGGGCATGCGCGGCATCCATTCACACCCCAGATGGCTTCAGCCACATTACGGATAGGGACTGTGGCCGGCGCTGATGAAAGGTGACCCCCCCCCCACCACCACGCTTTGGGCTTGCCCGGCGTAAGCTGAGCTCCATGATAACTCCTTCACTAAGTTTAGCTGCAACTGCGGAAAATATCAACAAATGGAAAGCTCCCATGTGGAGGCCTGTTTGTTTAGTTTTTTGTTGGTGTGCGCGACTCCCAACGTGTGTGTCTGTGTGTGTGTGTGTGCGCTTTAATTACCGGGATGTGCATAAATGTATGTCTGGAGTCACAGCTTGTACTGAAAGGGAGAAGAAATTTTCCATTACTGGCACAATGGTGAAGCTCATTCAATATGTAAAAAAAAGAAAGAAAAAAAAGCCTGTCATGAAAACGTCAGAGATCAGAAAAGTCTGCAAGTGTTGACTAGAGCGTGCATGTAAGTGTGTGTGTGTGTGTGTGTGTGTGTGTGTGCACTAAGACAATAATAAAATCAGAAAGTGTCACATGGGACCTTTTTTCTAACCAATTATCTCTCTTTCCCCATACGTTAGTGTCCACTTTTATTCACTTAATTAGGTATAACCATTAGGCACCATGTGAAAAACAGTGAGAGCTCTCGGTGAGAAACTGTCCCAGAATCAATTTGTGCTAGTGTGCATGGCTCCAGATTTTTCTTCAACTTCTGTCAAAAGAGGCCCAAAAACCCCGGTGTCTGGGTAAAGTGCGTCTCTGACATACACTATATTGCCAAAAGTATTTGCTCACCTGCCTTGACTCACA